GGATTTTTATATTATTAAATTATATTTTTAGAATGTCCGAAATGTTTCAAAATCTTGTTTTTCTTGCGTCCAAAGATTAATATAGAAAATATTAGCGTCTTTTTCTGCGGTAAAAAAAAAACTCTCTGATTTAGAAATTCTTGCAAAAATCAAATAATTGTTGAATTTTAATGAAACTTTCGAAACTTGTTCACAAATAAATGCAATTATTTTAAAAATGTTCCTTTTTTAAAAAATCTTGGTAAAAACAATTTCTTACATGTTAACCCCAACTTATTTAATTTTATCGAAATTTCGATTAATTAATTTTTATACCGATTAATGTTTATATTAGTTTTACTCCTTGGAGAATTTAAATCATCATTTTTTATTTTTTTTTATTTATTTATTTTATTTTATTTTATTTTATTTATTTATTTATTTATTTTTGTAAAACAGGATCCCCAGATACGGAAAATCTGAATCTTAAAATAAAAGATACAAATAAACTATTAGACATTATTTAATTCGAAAAGCATTTAATCGCTTTTATGAATAAGATATTTTCACGCTTTGGACATTGTTTTCATCGAATTTTTTAATTTTCTTATTAATTTGTAGGTGATATTGTTATTAATTAAAAATTATATTTACTAATCATAGATGGAAAAGATTATTACCGTTCAGTGCAACCCAATATGTTGCAAATAATTTTGATTTATTTTATATGTGCATTGTATTTTTGCAAATATGGACGTCCATACGCGACATTATAAGAAAATAAGAGCGATAACTATAGCAAATTGAAAGCCAAAATACCTAAAATCCAATAAAACATTAGATCATGGAGAATATTATCCTAATTGTTAAGATTACTGGGTAGTTAAAAATTATATTTAAAAAGAAATCACGTTGTATTCCTTAAGTAAATTTTACAAATATGTCTACCGTAGAAGAAATTTAAATAAAATTCCGTCTGTCAGTCAAACCGTCAACACCTTAAAAAATGCATTTCTGCGATATTTTAAATTTAAAGAAAATAATATTTGCTTCGAATCAGATGAATTCAATTTTAAATCAGCTAATATTCCTCAAATAATTTTTTCGGAAAAGTATATTTTATTTTTGAAAGTTGAAAGATTTTTTTAAATAAAAAGAATTACATTGTGGGTATTCTGAATTTATTTGTGATAATTCTATTATTATTAAAACATTACTATTATATTATTGCATATTATATTATTATATTATATATATATATATATATATATATATATATATATATATATATATATATATATATATATATATATATATATATATCCCCTACTCTGTCATGGGCATTGAGTTCTACCTGGAGTCTATCCTCTTGGAATATTTTTTTTAATACAAATATATATGTATGTGTATGTATGTATATATATTTATACATTTTGCATATGAATGTGTATATTTAACACTAATATTTTATATATATATATATATATATATATATATATATATATATATATATATATATATATATATATATATATATATGTATGTATGTATCATATATATATATATTATCTTATATATATTTATATTATTATATTATTAAAGCATTAGCAATTGAAATGAGTTTGCCATATTGAAATCATTTTAGTTTATGAAACTTTTTAGAAGTAACAACAACAAAAGTGTGGACAATAGTCTGCATGTAAATACTGACCTTTTAATTTCAATTTTTTTAAAATAAAAGAATTCCTTTTTTTCTTTTGTTTTTCTTTTTTGTATTTATCCGATAAAATTCAGGATGAACGCTCAAGATAATATAAACTAAAATCAATAACTAAATGATATATAATATTTTAAAATGAGTGTTTGAAACCCCCCGGTCTTATGCTGAGATAATGCAACGGAGGGTTAAATCTTAAATGAATATTTACGTTATTAAGCTTTAGTAGCGTAGCATTGTATGCAAATTAGATAGACAAGTATAAATAGAGAACAACTGGCGAACATAGGAGGGCTATGCCTAGCAAACTCGGTAGTTATTCAGGACACAGAGAAGTGCACTACGACTACTACAGAGAGATATGCAAAAGATAGCGAGTAGTCTGTCTAAATAATTGGGAAGAGTTTTAACAGAGGAGGAAAAGTGTAACACTGGAATGCAAAAGTGCATTGAGATAATAAAAGATGACTTTCAAAATCTAAGCAAAGTATTAAGGAACAAAAAAAAATCGTTAGAAACAAAGAACGAAGTATTGAACTGTTATAGAATAACTGTCCTCCAATATGGCAGACACTGTTGCACAATCTCTTCTCAGATGAAGAAGAAACTTGAAGCAACAGAAATGTCCTTCTACAGAATGATAAGAATACCATGGACTGAACATGTGAGCAACAACGACGTTTTAGAGAAAATGAAAACAAAACGGATACTTATACTTAAAATCAGGAAGAGGCAATTGAAATTTCTAGGGTACATAATGAGGTAAGAGGGCTTGGAAAATTTGAAACTCACAGGACACATTGAAAGCAAGAGGGACAGACGAAAGCAACGCATAACCTACCTAGTGAGCTTGAGCAAATTGATGGTGGAGTAAAGATTAGGAGAGATAACAAAAGAAAACAATTTATGCAATATATTCTGTGTCATTGAAGAAGGCCGAAGTATACAACGACCGAAACGTCGTGAATATTACAATAAAGATGTGGATAACAATCTGAACAATGTAAATAGTTGTTGAGTTTAGCTTTAAATTTACAGGCGTAGTTGATTCTATGATTTTTTCCCTATATATATATATATATATATATATATATATATATATATATATATATATATATATATATATATATATATGTATATATATATATATATACATATATATATATATATATATACATATATATATCTATATATACGTATACATACATATATATATACATATATATACATGCATATATATAAATATATATATATATATATATATATATATATATATATATATATATTCTCTCTCTCTCTCTCTCTCTCTATATATATATATATATATATAAAAAGGGGACACAGGGTCAATACCAAACTGCGACACTCTCATGATTAAATGCACTATTCTGGGCATGTTCTTTGTATTTTGTTCGACTATTTACATATAAATGGAAAGGGCTGGAATCACCTACCCATAATACACCACTGACCAGCATATATAAAATGTTTGGTTAAATAATTTAGACATATTATGTTTATTAATTTTAGTTTTAATCGTTTCAAGTCCATGAATTAATTTCTTGGTTGCTATAGATATTTTATTAATAAATAGACATAATACGTCTAAATTATTTAACCAAACATATTTGAATAAAAATATGCTGCCCATATATATATATATATATATATATATATATATATGTGTGTGTGTGTGTGTGTGTGTGTGTGTGTGTATGTATGCTGCCCATATATATATATATATATATATAGATAGATAGATAGATAGATAGATAGATATAGATAGAACATAAGTTGAGGCGCTGCATTGCTTCACTGAATTCAAATATCCCAATCTAATTAAAATCGATATTTTTATTTATTTCTTCTTCAAAGAATATTCTCTTTATAACGTTCTCAAATTTTGAAATTCGCGACTGTTATTTGTCAATAATTGTTTCCTTTTGCCTTAAAATAGCTCATGTTGTTTCATGCATTTGGCAGACGATATTTTTTCCCTCCTAAAATAAGAAATGACAAAATGCACAGAAAAAAGACATCATTTTTGTTTTCCTTACTCCTATTTTTCATTTATTTATCCAGATTTTCTTTACTAAATTTGTGCGACGTTTTTAATGCAAAAAGACTAGAAAAGGTTTAAATTTCAACAAGAAATAAAACGCCAGGAAATATTGGTGATAATCACTTGCAATAGTAGATAATAATTGTGTTATTACGAGCAACAAAAATAAAAATACGAAGTTTCTCCCATCCTGCAGGAATTGTAAAAAAATACACACAAATGTCTTTGTTTTAGTAAAAGATCTCTGTTCCTCAGATTATTACGTTTCCTTCTTAGTAAAAATTACAAACTTTCATCTTTTTTGATTCTCTTTTTTGATTTCTTTTCACGCCATATTATTCTTATTTTTTTATTTTTTTCTTCAGCGCATTCAATAATTCTTTCGTATTTCTCTTTTCTTGAATTTGTTCAAGGTTTCTTTATTCAGATTTTTTTTTCTAAACTTTTTAATTTCAATTTTATTCGCTTTCTTTATAAGTTTATTTCTTTTTTTCTTCACACCTTCTCAGATTTACATGTCAGTCTTCCATTTCTGTCTTCATTTTAAAAATTCTTCCTAACTTTCGATGATGTTTACTTTCATTCTTAACATGCAGATCTATACAACATTCTTTCTTTCTTACCACTGATATATCAACCCTTTCTTTCTTACCACTGATATATCAATCCTTTCTTTCTTACCACTGATATATCAACCCTTTCTTTCTTACCACTGATATATCAATCCTTTCTTTCTTACCACTGATATATCAACCTTCTTTTTTTCTATCTTTGATGTTATTTTCTTTCTTTCTTCTCATATAGACGTATCCGTTTATTTCTTATTTATTTGTTCATTTCTTTCTTTCTTTCTTTCTTATCAATGTTATATTGCTCTTTATTTTCTTTCTTTTTTATATCTTGGATGTTTTCTCCCTTTCTGTCATACATTTTCGTTCATTCTGTCTTTCTTTCTGTTTTTCTTTTTTATCATTTAGATACTTTTCTTTATTTTTCTTTCTTTTCTTTTATATCTTTGTCAGTTTTTTCCTTTTAGTTTTTCGTCATCATTTATTTTCTTACGTTAAATCTGTCATGTCTTTTCGTTCGTGTTTTTTTTTCTTTCCCTATATTTATTCTTTTTCTATATTCCTTTTCTTTTCCTTACCTATATTTCTTTCTTTCCCTATATTTCTTCTCTCTCCTATCTATCTTTCCTTCCTTCTTTCTTTCTTTCTTTCTTTCTTTCTTTCTTTCTTATAGCTTAGATATATGATATCGTTTCTTTCTTTTTAGTTTTATCGTTATATCCTTTTTTATATCTATGTCCCTTTTTCATTTTATATATTCGTCATTATTTTCTTTCTTACTGTTAAATTTGTCATGGTCTTACTTTCTTTATTTCTTTCTTTCGCTATATTTCTTCTTTTTCAATCGATATTCTTTTTTTTACCGCCGATATTTCTTTTTTCTTTATTTCTTTCTTTTAAATTCGATAAAACTCACCAAATTCACCCAGACACTTAAATTTCTCTATAGGTAAAAGCATACATTTCATTGTATAATATTTCAGAACTTAACATAATTTTCTTTCGTCTAACGCAATTTAATAAATAAAATAAAAAAAACTAGTAATATTTGCCGTCTAAACAAATACAAATCTCTCGCTTGGTGAACGACACAAACTCGCTGAGCAAACAAAGTGTGAAACAAGTTAGGAAAGAGCAAATGGAAAATGATGAAATTCTTCGCGATAATATTGTTCAATTAAAGCCGACTATTTGACTTTTCAAAATATCCACAGATTCTTGTATGGCCCTGAAGTCAAAACACGAAGTTATCAAAACAACAAAGTAAAGACCTTTTTCATCCACATTAACGCTATTAGCTCTCTCTCTCTCTCTCTCGCTCTCTTTCTCTCTCTCTCTCTTACTCACCCTCTCAGAATGTCCTTATATATTTATGTATATATCTATCTTCCAATCTCAGCCTGTTCATGCACATATATATATATATATATATATATATATATATATATATATATGTATGTATGTATCATAAGGTTCCTATCTATTTATTTAATATCTGACTTATATCTAATTCCGATATATCTATTTCTTTCTGTCTGTCTGTTTATCTCTCTCTCTCTCTCTCTTCTCTCTCTCTCTCTCTCTATATATATATATATATATATATATATATATATATATATATATATATATATATCACTTTTTTCTTTCTTTCTTTTAGGCCTCTTTCCTTTACAGGGCATGCTGTTTCTTTTTCTTTTTCCAAAATTTTCTTTCTTTTTTTCTTTCTTTCTTTCTTTCTTTCTTTCTGTTAAAGCCATGCAGTTTCTTTTTCATTCTTTCTTGCTTTCTTTTTTTTTATTTTCTTGATTTGTCGATGTCGTTTTGTTATTTTTTCCCAATATTTATCTTCCGTTCTTCATGATCACTCATAGCTATACGTATCTTTCTTTACCATTTTTTCCCTTTATTTTATTGTTCCTTTCTTTCTCTTTTCTATTTACGTTTCATTTCTTCCTCTGTTGTATTAGTTTTTTTTTCGCTTTTTTCTTCGCTTTTTTCTTCGTTTTTTTTCTTCCTTTTCCTTTTCTGTTTTTCTTGCTTCCTTTTCCACCTTTTCCTTTCTTACTTCTTTAATTCATTTTCCCTTCTTCCTTTCTTTCTTCCTTTCTTTCTTTCTTTCTTTCTTTTTGTTTTTGTGGTTTGATTTGGGTTTGATGTTTCGGATTTAACCAAAGTAAATTGAATTGCGAATCCCCGGTGACAGTTATTTCGAATTTTTTCTATTGCTTTTCTTTTTGGAAATAATGTTTTGCGACACACGTTCGGAAATTTGATATTTGCTTGGGTTTGAAACAATTAACGTTGAGAGAAGCGAAATAAAAAGCAAAAGTGAAAATGAAAGTGAAAGTAAATTATCGGAACATTGTTGCCCAGAATTTAAATCGAATCAGGGATCCCTTTGAAGACTTGAAAGTGAATGTCATGAGTAAAGAGGATGACTGAACAAACGGAAGAAAGAAGGATAGAAAGATATGGACTGACTCAAACAGAGAGAGATATTGTCATGTATAGTTGGGCACAAGGCTATAGCTGTGGAGCTAATCAATTGCTTTATTTAGCAGGTAAACCAATACAAAGGAAATAATTTAACTATAGTAATTTACAGAGCAATGGCGATATATAGACTTACACAAATACAGAGAGAGAGAGAGAGTGGGGAGAGAGATAAATAAGCTAAGACAGAGAGTTTGAACAGAGTGGGCTCGATAAAAAAGAATGGAATAGCTTGATTAAACTGAGATAGATAGATAATTAACAGACTGAGATAGATAAATAGCTAGATAGATAGATAATTAACAGACTGAGATAGATAGATAGATAGATAGAGAGATAATTAACAGACTGAGATAGATAGATAGATAGATAGATAGATAGATAATTAACAGACTGAGATAGATAGATAGATAGATAATTAACAGACTGAGATAGATAGATAGATAATTAACAGACTGAGATAGATAGATAGATAGATAGATAATTAACAGACTGAGATAAATAGATAGATAGATAATTAACAGACTGAGATAGATAGATAGATAGATAATGAATAGACTTAGATAGATAGATAAATAAATAATGAATAGACTTAGATAGATAGATAGATAGATAGATAGATAGATAGATAGATAGATAATGAATTGACTTAGATAGATAAATAAATAATGAATAGACTTAGATAGATAGATAGATAGATAGATAGATAGATAGATAGATAATGAATAGACTTAGATAGATAGATTGATAGATAATGAATAGACTTAGATAGATAGATAGATAGATAGATAGATAGATAACAGACTGAGATTTTTTTTGATAATTAACAGACTGAGATAGATTAATAATGAACATAACTTAGATAGATAGATAGATAGGAAATTGCTGACAAAAGCTGATGGACCTGAATATAATAATAATGGCAACAATAATAATAATATTAATAATAACAATATTAGATTAAATAATAAAATAGATAGATACTTTCGACAAATATTTCCACAGGTAAATAAGTAACTATAAGTCTTAAGAAATTATTAAGTATTCTATTGATATTCCACTGAATCTATGAGGTGTAAACCGTATTTTGTTTATAGCCTCACTCCTTATATTTCTTAGAGAAAAATAATTGTCAACCGTTTGAGAAATTCTAGTAAATCAAAACGATCCATTTTAAACTTGAAAAAATATAAATGAAAAGTGGTACTGCCTGTGAAAATCGCTTTATCAAAATACTCTATCAGTTCATGTTTCTTTATATGAAAAAAGAACAATATATATTTAATTTCTCACATAGATACATACTGAGGCACACACATAATACACACACACACACACACATATATATATATATATATATATATATATATATATATATATATATATATATATATATATATATGGAAGAAGCTATATGTCCACACTATCTATCTATATATTTATCTATCTATCTATATATATATATATATCTAACTAACTAACTAACTAAAGGGGATATATTCAACATATCAAGCGATATGTAAATATTAATTAATTGAAATAACTATATATATATATATATATATATATATATATATATATATATATATATATATAGATAGATAGATAGATAGATAGATAGATAAATATATAGATAGATAGTGTGTGGACATAGCAATCCTATAGAAATCGAGGGATCATGCAATGTTAACTTCTATGTACACATTGTCTATATTTATAAGCTTCCTATCTCTACCTCTATAAAATATATTAATTTTTAAGTAATATATATATATATATATATATATATATATATATATATATATATATATATATATATATATATATATATAAATTAAAAATGAGATAAACCATAAACGTTCATGGTTGTATTGATAAAGCATAATATATATATTTTTTTTTTTTAAATCTACATTACAATTAAAAACTTTTGCAGTTTCTTTCTTCTTTTTAAAATATGCATCTCTCTCGTTGAAATAATTATAGCTTCTTCCATATATATATATATATATATATATATATATATATATATATAAATATAAAAAGCGAGATATACAAAGAAAGAGAACCAGAGAGATAAAATCAGCATTGTATACAGCGTGTCAATTACCTTCTTCAATGCTATTTTCAGAACAAGATCTTACTCTGAAATGTGAAACAGCTTGTCGCCATGCAATCTTGATTCCATTGAGCATGCAGTCAATAAACGCTCAATCTCCGATATTGAACCCTATTTTCCTATAAGTATAACAAATTATAATTACACACACACACACACACACACACACACACACACACACACACACATATATATATATATATATATATATATATATATATATTAACTTATGTCTCATTAAATAACTTTTTTTGTCTACTTATTTGTAATAGCATCCACTCATAGTTAGGGACAAGCTTCTTCGTATCCTTATTAAAGGAAGAAAGAATATTATCATGTTGATGCACATTCATTTTATTACGAGTACTTTCGACATAAGCAAATTGTCATCATCAGGATCTTGTTTTTTTCTAAAAGAATGAATTGTTGTGTTCATCATTTTTCTAAGACAAAATAAATTTCCTTTGAAAGTTAAGTTTTTACGTGTAAATTGAAAAGCTCTAACGTTATGTACTATACAATTTTAAAAAATTTTCACGTACGCAAACGTCAAGAGAATTAACTTAGTGAGATGTCTAAATCTTTTTTAAAGAAAAACTATTAGTTAAAACCAAGATATTTTAAACTATCTACTGCAAACATTTTAAAATATTTGTTCAGTATTCATAATTAATTTTCTGAATGGTTGATTTCAAATCTTAATATAGATAGCTTTAAGAAAGTTTAGTTTATGTTTATTATTTTTATGAAAATGTATAGTTGTATTTTTAACAAAAATTTTTCTGAATTGCTAATGTGGACAGACATACTGTTATAAATGTTGAGATGTTAAATTAGGTAATTAACTTTCATCTTTACGTTTACGATGCTTTATGGAAAATAAAAATATTATAAAGAAATTAAAATAAGAGTGTTAAGAGTGAGATTAAATTTCCTATTTCATAAGAAAGGTATCTAATTAATTTATAGGCACCTTTCTTATGAAATTTTATCAGAAGTGTACATAAAATACTATAATTTTATGTACATTTATTACATTTTACTGTGTTATTTGTATT